ACAAAGTTAAAAAAAAGGGGGACAAAAATTAAACGTAAAGAAGACCAAACTAATGACAACAGGTAAAACAACCAGCCTTAGAATTCGCTATGTAGATACAGTATTTAAGTGATGGATAGCTTCTGCCTTTCAACAGTAAAGGAGCAAACAGTAAAGAAATATCCTGCAGACTAGATACTTGGGTAGAGCAGCCATGAAGACCTTGGAACAGGTATTCAAATGTGGTGATGTGTCTATACCTACAAAGATCAGAATTGTGCAATTCATGGTATTCCCTATGACATTCTATGGAAGAGAAAGTTGGACTTTGAAGAAGCAAAATAGGAAGCAAAATAGGAAGAGCTTCTGAACTTTGGCATTGAAGAAGATTCCTGAGAATAGAGTGGACAGGCAAGAAAATAAACAAACAAATCAAACAAATCAACCCAGAGTTCTCAATCAAGGCACAAATGACCAGGCACATCTTATCCTACTTCATACACATTATCCTACTTCAGATTCTCTGAGAAAGGCTTTAATGCTGGAAAAGGTAGAAGGAAAGAAAAGAGGATGACCAGCAACAATGAGGAGGGATTCAGTACAGTGGTGATGAGTGCATCATTGAAAGACATGAAAGACCAGGTTAGGGATAGATTGTTATGAAGAATATCAGTGTGGTCACAAGGAGCCAAAAATAACCCAGTGAAACATAATTAATCAATGAAAACACAACTGGTTTAGCCATTAAAATGGCAATGGGAAGTATCTACAAATGAGGTGTCCTTGGTGCTTTCTGAGCTTGGTTCTTTCATTGCAGATGTTTCATTACCCAAATTAGGTAACATCATCAGTGCTAGTCCTGATGTTAGCACTGATGAAGTTACTTAGTTTGGGTAATGAAACATATGCAAGAAAACAACCAAGCTCAGAGGGCACCAAGGACCCTTCATTTCAACCCTATGCTGCAAATATTCTTTATTAGTATCTTGAAAGTAGGAAAATATAGCCTTTTCAAACAGTTTGTGAGAAGATGCAGCAATTTTTTCCCGTTTTTCCCCCCTCAAGTCTGGAAATCCAGAATGTCTCAAATGAAGCAGAATTGGCAACATGACAATGACAATGATAAAATGCCACTAATTAACTATTAGTTCATAGTTTCATTTCATTTCATTTCTTCTTACCCAGTTCAGAGTAATCTGACCTGTTTTGGAACAGAGCAAGATAATTTCAAATTTCAAATGAATAACTTCAAATTTTTCAGAAAGGACTTCTGTTACATCAACGTAGCATTCTTTTCAAAGCAAATTCCCTTCAGGTACTTCCAGAAATCAATACAGATGTAGGCCAGCTACTTTCTGGGCAACTAGTTAAATAGGGATGAAGCATGGCCATTGGCAAGCAAGAACAGAGTTCATTTATGCCTGAGGACCTCGGAATGTGCTCAGCATGTAAAGTTAGGAATAGCAGTTTTGATCTGTATACTAAACAGAAAGGAATGCATATAGTTGTGCTTAAAAGTTTGTGAACTTTTTCAAAAATTTTAATATTTCTGCATAAATATGATCTAAAGTGAGATCTGTTCTCCATAAAAATCCTAAAATTATGTAGAGAATTAAACATACAGTACAAGTTTTAAAAAAACATTATATTTGTTCATTTTTTCATTGAGGAAAATGATCCAAAGCTACATATTTGTGTGTAGCAAAAATATATGAACGTTTGCTTTTAGTAAGTCGTGTGTATTTGGCAGCAATAATGGCAATTAAGTGTTTTTGATAACTGTTGATCAGTCCTGCAAGATGGCTTGGAGGAATTCGAGACAGCAAAGCAGGATCGAACCATAATACTTCGATCACCATGATTTATAGATGGATAAGGTTCTTATGCTGGAATGCAGTGTTTTGCCTTTCATCAAACATACCACTTTTCCTTCAAGCCAAAATTTTTTATTTTGCCCTCATTTGTCCACAGAACATTCTTCCATAATATCTAATATTCACATAGTATTCAATACAGGGAACATTTCTGAATGCGATTAGAAAGTAAGTTCAGCTGGTTTAATTTCCTTATTAAAGGCTCCCCTGATGCTGAAAGCAAAGATGTCTTCCTTTGGCTCCTGGTGCTCAAACCTGTGGGAGACCATTATTTTATGGTCTCCTTGGAAGAAGCTGTCCCAAAGGACACTCATGGGCATTCTCCCATTCTGTCTTCCACAGACATTTGAAGGACTGATCCACCTTCGTTCTTCACAATGGCTGTCAGCTCTGCGTGTTCACAGAGATGTCTTCACTCAATCATGACACACACGGGATGTCTAAAATGTCTCCTATTTGGTGGCTCTCTTACAACTTACACTGTGGAGGATTCCTAACATCCAGTTTTTAAGTGTGTTGGGCAATCAGATATTAGTATTTGGTGAGATTTTTCCTTTGTCTGCAGCACAAAAGGAAAATAGATTTTAAAGTGGGTTTTAGAACTTAATCACATTCCAGTCAACCTTATGTTTTGGAGCAACTTTTTTGTTGAAGAATAAATACCAGATTAGCTAATCTCTTTAGAGTGAGAAAGTAAAAGGTTTATGGAATAATAATATCTCTCCACTTGCTGGTCTCTTACTTTTTTACCTCCTGCTGTATAATACTTTTACTGAAGTAGACCTAGTTTATGAGTGTTTATGATTGTCTAGTACAAAGTTTTACAGTACTCCAGCAAAGATAATAAGTGAATTTTCACAAACTATTAAGGAAAGCTCAGTTTTCCGAAACAAAACTGAGTAGACACAGAATTTCAGGTATCAGTCAATTTCTTCTTAAAGAATAAAGTGAAGTAAAACTTGAGTTATTGCAAAAATATTTTGGTGTTGAAGCTAATTACTTTGACCTTAGTTTCTGAAACAGCAGAATATGAACTCGTCCAAGAAACCCTTGCTTGTGGTTTCTGGCTGATGCTCTGGCATCTCTTTCCTTGTCCCAATTTTTTACTGTTTCTCATATCACATATACTAGTTCTGTGGCTTAATTTTTAAAGTTTAGAAAGGAAGCATCTGACATCTGCATAATTAAACACTAACATGCAGGGCAGTATATTTAAGGTACACACAGTTCAAGCAGCATGATATGAATATTTTACACATTTTTTGAGTGCTGCAAAACACAGAGAACCAAGATTTTGAGTAGAATTAGATGGGTGTGTGCCTTATTTCCACAAATATCAGTTGGGAGGTCTTTGCATGTGATTATTTCCTACTGAGCTTCCAAGATTCTCATTTGGAAGAGGCTCACTCGTGCTTCAAAAAGAAAAGGGGGCAAACGTTCCAAAATAGGCAAATTCTTATTCAAAATATAAATGCAAATTAGCAATAATGACTATAATTAAGTAGAACTGTTATGTAGTTGCATATAAATTAAGGGAAAGCCACTAAAAAAAGTAAGCGGAAAGTTTATTTGATATATTTTTTTAAAGGGTTAATATTTAAGAGAGATAGAGGAAATTCCTGTGAACTTCTCAATTATATTGCAGGCCTTAAATACAATGCATCTTACCATAAAGCTGCATAATGTGCAATTCCAAGGAAGGTTCTATTGTCCCTCTTCTGAAGAACCAATTGGATGTGGAGCAGATAACCATTGGCCACTCTAAAGCAAGAATTGTGTTCTGAACACATAACCACCTTAATTTGTCACATTAAGTTTGTATTTCTTTCTGGTTTTTTTTAAAGGCTCATGTGCCTTTCAAAGCCCTTGCTCTACTGTTGATATGACCTGGAAGTAATGCAAATCACCATGCTATGTATAGGTCTCATAGGCTGATTGTTGCCTATGAAGCTTCTGAAAGCCACAATATATGGGGTATGGGGGCCTGCCTGGTGTACTGGACTTAGTATTGTGTAATGTCCTAGGAACTCCCTGGAATCATGTTTTAAACTAGTCTCCCCAGATCTGACATTCTCACACAGGGCAGGACTGCTTAGGATATTTGTAGGGATTGCAGTTTTGATCTATCTGGAGCAGGCCAGAACTGGAAAAGCTACCTTAATTAATCCTTGCTTTGGAAAGTTCACCTCCTGCCAGATTTCAAACTATGAGCAATTATCTTAAGATGTTAATTTGTTAAGCCTGCCTTTTGTTTTACTAGTTCAGTTTTTGATGTGAGTCATATACAAAGATGAAGAACCTGAAGGTCAAATCCTTTAAAAGCCACTCCACTTTTTCAAACATTCCAAAGCTTGTTCTGAGGATGAAATTGATTTTCATTTTTTCACTGCTTTTGATTAATTATTGTTGCGGGAAGGGAACCTTCAACAAAGCTACCTGTTTGTGGGATGCAGTCTCTAAGGAGCTGGCCATCTCAAATCATCGGGCAAAACAAGCTTAATCATAGGCTGGCTTTAATCCATTCTTTTTCTGTAGTAAAGCCTGCAGTTGGGAACCTTTATAAACTTGTAAACGAGATATGCTCATTTCAGTGTTATGTGGTAGAGAAAAATCCCATACCTCCAAGAATACATGCTTAATAATATCAGCATCTATTTTCATCTGTAGGTGAACTGTTAAATAAAATTAAGGAATGACTCCTCTGGTATAGGAGATACAGAGTTCAGTCCTGTGAGAAAAACTAGTAACTATCCGTATCTTTCAGATATTTGTGTTTATTAATGTATTCTTTCCATCCGTCCTTCCTAATGTCTGGGGCAATCTTATTGACTGAAATAAGGTTCTTCACATAGCAATTTATTTATCTATCTGGTATACTAAATAAGGTTCTTCACATAGCAATTTGTTTACTTATGCATATGATTTATAAATAGGATAATGTCCATGAATTTATACATTTACACTCAAGTTTTCATTTCGAATCTGAATACCCAGATGGCAGCTAATAACATGAAATGGAACACGAGTTTAAATAAAAGTTCACCCATGAAAAGATATTTTGCATTAATACACTTTCTATTTTGTCCACAGTATAATCCACCATAAACTCACTGAATAAGACCTATTTCTTTTTTCTTTGGTGTCTAGTCTCCCCTGTTGTGGAACCCGTCTTCCAGGATATTCGGCAAGCCATGGGGCGTCGTGTAACCCTTCGATGTACCATGTTAAAGGGAAGCCCTATGAAAGTGGCCACAGCTGTCTGGAGATTTAATGGTAGTCTTCTAACAGTGCCTCCAACAGAGCAGCAAGACTATTCAGAATATAAAGTGGACACTGTAAGCCGGGAGACTAGTGGCAACTATGAATGTAGTATCTCCAATGATGTTGGTGTAGCAGTTTGCAAATTCCAGGTATCAGGTAAGTCGTGCAAAGAACATCTAACCTTTTTTTCTTGTTTAGTGGCTATTAGTATGATTAGACTTGGCTAATAACTGGTAGATGAATGAAATGGAAAATTTGCCCATAATGAGACTCTACCAAAAAAAAAAGGGGGGGGGAGACCTAGTTTCGATCTTTTCTCCATTTACTGAGCAGTCCCAGAGCAGCAGAAAAATAGTGCTAGGCAGTGGTGAAATCCAATTTTTTTTACTACCGGTTCTGTGGAGGTGGGCATGGTGTGGCTTGGTGGGTGTGGCTTGGTGGGCATGGCAGGGGAAAATCTCCATTCCCATCCCACTCCAGGGGAAGGATATTGCAAAACCTCCATTCCCACCCCACTCTGGGGCCAGCCAGAAGTGGTATTTGCCAGTTCTCCGGACTACTCAAAGTTTCCGCTACCAGTTCTCCAGAACCTGTCAGAACCTGATGAATTTCACCCCTGGTGCTGGGGCAGAAATTGTACTCATCTTCCCAGTAGGAATGTCCACTGGATCACCAGCTTTTCTAGAAACAGAAGGAGACATTCTGTTTAGGAAAGGGCAAGTCTGTATCCAATAACTAGTTGATAAAATGAGGCAGAAAAATTGGTTCCTATAAGGTGCCAGACAGTACTCCCACTTTCCTTCACCTGCCTCTTATGAATAGAATTGTTTGCTCCAAAATTAGTTCCTGTATTATATTTTGTTATCATGTCTTTTAAGTTTGGAAGCCTGAGGGCAGTTTCTGTTTTTTAATTGGTAGAGTTGATGAATAAAAAATAGTCTTTATGCCACAATGCAGCATGTAATTAAATATGATCTGGTGATTTAAAAATGGAAAGTTTAACTCATGTGTATCATTGTTGTTTCCATGACATCTGGGCTTCGGGGATCTGAAATATTCTTTGACCCTTTAATTCTGTTTTCCTGCAAAACTGTCTCAGAAAATGACTGGCTAGAGGTCAGACATACCCTTTGAAATGCCCTGATTTTTTTATATATATATATATATATATGGCTCTTTGTTCTGATAGACTTTGGCCTCTTACAGCCATCCTTTAACTGAGTCCATTCTTTGCAGTCAATATGAATTACTTTAGTCAGCATTTTCCAATTACTATAAAAGTGCTAGGTAACTTTTACACCTTATCAAACATCAGGTGCATACCAGTGGTGGGTTGCTACAGTTCGCCCCAGATTGGGCAAATAGGTAGCAGCAGTGGCAGAAGGCTCCGCCCACTCACCCAGACGCTTCTGAGCATGTGCAAAAACTTCTGCACATGCACAGAAGCGTCACGTGCAAGCGCGCGAGCGCCCATGAGCAAACCAGTAGCAATGAGTTTTGAAACCCATCCCTGGTGCATACCACAAGGAAAACTCCTACATACTTAAGATATCAGGTCTGTACCAAAAGAAATGCCATCTCTGCACATTTAAGTAGAAGTATATGTGAATTTAATAGAGAAATATGCCAGTTCCTTCATCTCCCAATGGTTGGTATAGCTGCTTGTGTGCAACTTTTGTTCTTTCAAAATCTATATTAATATTTTCCGCTCTGTCTATAGCAAAGTATGTATGCATGTAGATTTAGAGGTGGGGGTCTAGCATTTATTTAATTCTTCTGTGACTTCAAATAGTTGCAAAGTGCTCCATGGGTGATTTATATATGCAAGAAGAAAATTATAAAGGATATGATGAACTTTATTATTATATCACCAAAGATGGAGTCTTCTATCTTGGGAATCAATTAATTATAAAAATGGGCATGAGATAATGATTATCGTCTGTTCTGATTTTATTTCTGAATTTGTTATGAAACTTGACTTAACAATCAATACAAGTTGAATAAGCAACAATTAGTCTCCAAGGTGGCTCTGAATGTTCTGCATACACAAAAATATAAGTCAATAAAAATAATAAGAAAAGGAGGTTCAGAAGTAAACATCAATATTACCATTCTCAGTTAATAAAAATAAACGTGGAATCATTTTCATTTAATTAGAGCAGAAAAGAATGGCTGAGCTAGTAATTGGGGTGGGTAAAGTGGAATGGAAAACAAGAGAATGTTGAGAATAAGGAATACTTGTAAAATGTATTGCTTGTCTTTGAATATATTCCCATTGTATGTTTTTTTGTGTGTGTGATTTTAAATTGGCCAATGCAAGAATATGGATAGGGTTTTCCGTGGAAAGATTTTGCTTTGGAGATAAACAGTGGGATTTGGGTCCATAGTGTCTTCCTTGTGAATCAATAACAAGGAGCGGGTGAATGGAAGGACTTTATTGGTAGTCAATCTTTAGGGTACAAAAGGCTCCCAGCACCACATTGTGGCCTCCCAGCATCCAAGATAGCACTAGCAATATTCTGCAGCAAAATACAGATAGTCCTTGACTTACAACAGTTCATTTAGTGACCGTTCAAAGTTACAACATCACTGGAAAAAGTTACTTATGACCATTTTCCGCACTTAATGACCATTGCAGCATGCCCGTGGTCCTGTGATTTACATTTGGATGCTTGGCAACACATTTATGAGGGTTGCAATGACCAGGCATCATGTGATCCCCTTTTGTGACCTTCTGAAAAGCAAAGTCAATAGGGAAACCAGATTCACTTAAGAACCGTGTTACTAATTTAAGAACTGCAGTGATTCACTTAATAAATGGGGCAATAAAATGGGGCAAAACTCACTTAACAAATGTCTCACTTAGCAGCATAAATGTTGGGCTCAATTGTGGTCGTACGTTGAGGACTACGTGTAGTGCTGCATTTGGGATATTGCATTTTTGTTATGATTACCACCACCCCTTCCAAAAGTGTGGCAATGAAAATAAGCCATTCTCACCTCCACCTCTACCTTACGTACCCCAACTCCTCCAAAACTACATGAAATCAATTTACAGGGGTGCTTAGAAGGCTGAAGTGGGAAAGGAGACATCTAAAGCACTCCTGGAAGGAAACTTGGAAAACACTTGACTGAACAAATGTAGAGCTGCTATTTCTTATCAATAATTTTAAGTTATTATGTTATTATTTGTTTTGTGGCAGATGCTTGTCAGAGCACCTTAGCTTCTTCATTTTCTATTATTTTTTTTCCTATTTTGTGGCTTTTCCTATTTATTTTTTAACAAGAAGAAGCAAAATCAAAGCTGGTTTGGTTGTAGATCGGAAGGCAGAGTTTTATTAAGCTTGATTACGGTCAATGAATTCTACTATTCAAATTCCCAGAAGTAGCAGATAGTGGAAATGAAGATAACAATGAAATGGTTTAAAAATATATAAAAAGAAAATAAATATCTATTTGGAAAGATTAGTTGTCTGTGACCTTCATGCTCAAAGCTCTTGATGAGTTGCTGGCATAGATTCTTATGGATCTCACTGACTTATAATGACTTTCCTCCCTTTTCTTTCCCTTCTTTCTTTTGATCTCATTCTCTTTTTTGTTTCTCAGCTAAAGCTTATAGCCCAGAATTTTACTATGATACCCCCAATCCTACAAGGAAGCAATCCAAGAACTACTCCTATGTTTTACAGTGGACACAGAAGGAACCTGAGGCTGTCGATCCCATTCTTAGTTACCGTCTAGATGTCCGCCAGGTAAGATCTATAATAGCAGCTTAAACACAGAAAATTCAGCTACTGCTGAAGACAGAAGTAACAATAGTTGCAGAGTTAAAACAAGAATGGTTTTGCCCCTACCTACCTAGATTAGAGTTTGGTATTTGCAAAGCAGGTTAGAGCAGACGGCATGATGTTTATTTCCTCATTTTATATGGCTGAGAAATCTGTTGTATGGCATACCTTTTCATTATAAATTCTTGATGCGTATGCATTTGAGAGCTAAGGAAGTCTGTTGATTCCTCTTGGAATTTTCAGGCTTTGTGTTTTTACTAAGGCTATAACAAGAACAAAAACTTGTATAGTATTAGTAGTTTTTATAGATTTCATAGGCCAACCATTTAGAAGTTTGGGGATTCAGATTCTTTCCTTTGAACCAACAAAGGGCTGTAAATTGAAGGGCACTGTAGGTTCAAACTGCCAAGAAAATTCATTGACTGTTCATGTTGTGCAAAGCCCTTCTCCAAGCTGTTATAATAATAATAATGGAACATTATTGCTACCTTCTGAAGAAAAGTTTGGGACAAAAGAGTGTTTCAATACATGAATGAAACAGAATCATAAAGAGCACAACCAGGAAGAAGAAAATATTTGATATGCTAGATTGTTGAAATATATTCATAGGTGCATACAAATGTGTGTATGAATGTGTGTGAATCAGACATGCAATCAAATTCCAAAATTTCTTAGCTAATCTATTATTTAGTTAAACCCAGGTTATGAAATCATTTGGAGGGACTATATGCCAAAGGTAGCTCTGTCTATGTAGAATAAGTAAATAGGGAGAGTCGGTATATTTAAAAAAAAGAAAGGTCTCTGCATTCTAAAAATGTTCTTTTTCCTTGTTTTTCCTGATTGTTCTTATAAGATCTGTTGTTCTGTTTCTCTTTCCGATACCCTCTCTACACAAAGAAAAGGAAAAAATCTTTTCTGTTGACCTAGAAAAGGTCAATACGTATTTTGGAGGACTGTTTTTGAAAGATCTTACCTCGTCTCAGGCTGTGGGTTGCCTGCTTTGAGTTATGCTGAAGTTTCTAAAGTTCAGACCTGCTCACCTTAAAAGCCCCTGAGAAAGATTAAATTCTAAGAAATCAGGCTTAACTGCTATGATGAGAGCCAGAGTCTATGCCTGTTATTATATTCACATAATATTCCTTGATCCAGCCATGGCTGTATTGATCAAAGAAGAAAGCAATAACCCTTGTTTTCTCCCTCCCTTCTATAATTCCTTTATTCCCCAATCTATTTTAAAGAATTGGCTTTGTTCCAAACCATGGGGAGCTTGATGGGGAGTTCCCCTATTCCCCTATTCACAGAAACATTCACTAGTTCATGGGCCTTCTTTAAATAGAATGGTAGAAACATATATAGAGGATAGATACGCAATATAATATAATTTTTTTCTCCAGCATCTAGATGTGTGTTCCTCTGGTGATCTGGGTGGCAAAATATATTTTCTATCTGCCCATTGTCTTTTCGGAAACATTAGTGTTCACAGCAAACCGCAAGAATGCCAAAATGATGACACTTTGCATATCGTCATGGTCATGGCAATGATGGCAGTAGATCCTTCATTCCAGTATTGGACACAAATGTATACATAGAATTTCTATGATGAGATCATCACTCATGTTTTATTATTTGTTGTCATTGCCTTTTCCTGTGGATGCCCATGTTGGGAAGGATAAAAGATATCATTTCTGATTATAGATTGTATTGTTCTTAGTAGTTATGGAACGGTTGCTACTTTTGAGGGATATTTTAGTCATTTTGGGGTTGTTATGCTTGGCAATTTTTGTTTTAGTTGCTGGAATTCTGAGATGATTCTGTGCTCAAAAATTATTCCTTTTGGTTAGATAAATTGCTTTGGCCCACAGGGAAAATCTTTTGTCATTCCTTGTTCTTTTAAGCAACTATAGTTAGGAATGATGCTGACTAATGCCCATAAGAAACCAAATGTTTAATCTTATTATTGATCCAGCCAAAGATGAAACTAATGGTGAATGTCAACTAGTTAATGTTAGAATACTTTGCGCTTTCTAACATATCCTAGATAACATCAGTGAAATAATTCCCGAATAATCTCCAGTTTATTTATGGGAGTTACTATGATTGATCCTTTACTATGCATTGAACAGTGTAGTCTGTGTAATTTTGTTCATATCTAGCCTTTCTTCTCCCTACACCAAAAGGATATAATCTGATTTTTTATTTTAAATTAGGAAATTCATTCTTGTTAATTCATTTGTAGTTTATAAATCCTTATTTGGTGACCATTTGTAGAAAGCAATGGTTTTCAATGAAATGTTTGCTAGTTATGAAATTAAAATAATTAATATTAGCTGTGTTAGGCTCTTTGAAATAATCTTTATGTACAATTCTAGAATCTAGTGATACTTTTCATACTTATCCTGATATGACTACTAATTTTTAAGAATCTTCTATTTTAAGTAATTTCTAGAATCTGTTTATTGTTTGATGTCAATCTGGGCTATTTAGGACCTGGTTTTAGACCAAACTCTAAACCTATAACAAGAATCAGCAGAACATGAAGATTCAAAGTAACCATGAAACATTTTTCCAGCTGCTGTATGTAGATATACTATGGTTGGGTAAATATGTCACCTTTGTTTTCTTTTAACTTGTCATTTTCCTGACCACAAGTCTTTCAACATCTGTTTCAAATGTTAAAATGCCCCCCCCCCCGCGCACTCACTCACCTTGCATTTTTCTCCATATTTCTCTTAACATCTACTGTATGCACTTTTTCTAATATGCAAATATCTCACAAGCAATTTTCTATCAATATAATCCATTCTTGCAGAAAAAAAAAACATTCATGTCTGTGCATCTTATACTTCATTAATGTATTTTATGAATATTTTTGTTGCACTTTGTATTTTGACAGGGATGTGTCTTCTACCACAAGTTTATTTCAGAGGTATAAATTTGATAAGCATATGTACAAATTTCATATCCATTTGTAAACAGCATAATAGAGCTGAAGTATACATGAACAATACCAGTGTAGAAATATATAGTAGCATCTGGTATGTTCTACAGTAAAAATAATCAGTCCATTGTACAAGATGATGATCGTAAAGATTTAAGTCCCCCAATTTGATTTCGTAACACTGACTTTGAACTTTACAGTATGAAACTAATTCTATTCAGAGCTCTCTACACCATAATAGTCTTACAGGGTCTTTTTATTGCCATGTTCTTCTTTATTAGGGATAATGCACTCTTCACTAAAGGGATGTGCAAAGATGAAGATTTTAAGGTTGATGCTTTTAAAGTTGCTAGGGCACATTGTGACAGGTAATAGGGTAGGCTGAGCTTGGAAGTAAAAAATTATTTACTTTCAATGTAGAGGACAGAACAATTTCAAAAGATCTGAGCACCTCTATTCTCTGGGTCAGACAGAATATCTTCTTTCATTCCGTTCTTTGTAGTGGCTCACTCTCTAGGGAACTGTCTGCTTCTGTATTGCTTTCTCATACAGCGTAGAGCACATTGTCAGTGCTTAACAAATAATAACAATTTTACCAACACAGTACACAAGGGAGCTTCTTATAATGAATGTGCTTTGTCTGAGAGCAGCCTTGCTGTATGCTGAACTTTGCCACTGTAATTTCCAACTAACCATGTGCAAAGATAGAGACAGATTTTGTCCTAAGTGGGACACTTGGATGTAGAACTTCAGATACATGATGTGTCATGCCTCATCTCAGATGTTGTTTAAAGGGAATCCGAATATGCAGGTTAGTAGGGTGAGGGGCGTTCCAAAGTACCTTGGAATAGTCCTTAATATTAATCAAATCTGCCAGATTTCTACAATAGCTGTTTTCTTATTGAGACTTCACTTTTTGCTAGCTCTCACTTGACTTGGTCCCAAGTTACTTGCAGGACTATATCTCTTTGGAGATTCAGTCATGCTGGGAGAAGTATTATAGCAGATTTTTCCTCATTTGGGAGAGGTTAGAGGGGCCCAAGACCAAAGGTAATGTTGCTCCATTGTTGGACTGATCGTCTGGAATGGCCTCCCATTGGAGATTTGCTTAGTTTTAACCTGTTCACTTTCCAGAAGAAGCTGAAGATAGAAATCTTCCCAAGGGTATCCGGAGCATGATACCACTTAATTGTTGATAGTGGCTTTAAGTGTCTTAGATTAAGTGCCTTGGCTTTCTTATTATTATTATACAGTTTATGTGTTGTAAACTGTTGAGTGTCTATTTTGATTGCAGAAGGAAGGAAGGAAGGAAGGAAGGAAGGAAGGAAGGAAGGAAGGAAGGAAGGAAGGAAGGAAGTTCTCTACCAAGTGGGTTTAGGATTAAAGTCTTCATTATTTGCAAAACCATATTTAATATTTCTTATAATGGCAAAGTTAAATTACTTATGCTCAGCCTTCTATCCTTCCAAGGTCAGTATAAAATGAGGGTGCAGATTGTTGGGGGCAATATGCTGACATTGTGAACTGCCCAGAGAGGCTGTAAAGCACTATAGGGCAGTATGTAAGCCTAAGTGCTAATGCTATCATGCTTGCATATTGGAAATTTATGCCAGTTAACATGTTGCTTTAATCAGTCTGTAGAAGCTGTTTATAGCTTTCCAAAATATTTTGTTTGGGTGAGGTCTTGATGCTGAATTATTTGGCAGAGAAACAAGAGGGTTGGATTCAAGAAGGTAGTATATTTTATTATTTTTCGTGTAATTTGGAACTTGCGAATCCTTTCTAATACAAATATAGCTGCTTGGATTTGATTTTCTGTCTAGATCTGGACCCTCACTGTGAGTCAGAAGATTGAGGTACTAGCCTCTCTTTCAGCTTGAAACTTTTAAAATCCATCTTTTCTGCAATAACAGCACATATTAGAATTCTTTAATTTTTCTGTATTTCATTTCTGATCTATTTTTTCTGGCAAGGTAGCAAACCATATGTTTTCAATCTGGATTTTTATTTATCCCCTGAGTACCTC